AAAAAAAAAAAAAAGAAGGGGATGGGGAAGTGGAATCACACAGATCTGGGCTTGACACTCAACTCTACTACTAACTGCCTTTGTGACCTTAGGCAAATCACCTCTTTGGCTTTAGGGTTTCTTCCCTATAAAATGGGGCTGATGATAATACCTATCCCATAGGGTTACAAGTGAGGTATTCTATTAAAAAGGATTTGTCTCAATGTAAGAGCAGGTAGTCTTACTGTTACTCTTGGGGTAGTTGAGTTCTAGTCCAAGTTTTCCAGTTAATGATAGTGTGGCAGCAGGCGGAGAGTCAACTCACCGCTCTGAACCTCAATTTCTCCAGCTATTACATAAGCAACTTGGCCTAGGTGATTTCTAAATGAGGCCTACTGGACAGGAATTGTGCACAGTTGCAGGATATAAATGCAGGACTGTGGCTCACATAACAAAAGGATTTCTGATCCCATGGAACAAGGATGAGCTCAAAGTTTGTTCAGCAATTCTAACCATAATGCCTTTAAGGGATGCGACCCCTTCTAAATTTTTCACTACCATCCTTAGCTGGTGAACATTTGTTCTCATGTTATCAAAATGGTTGCTTCCAGGCAAGAAAAAGGAGAAATGGGGAAGGGTAAAAGAGCATCCCTGGAAGCCACATGTCTCACTGGGCAAAAGTGGATCACAAGGACATCTTTAGCTGCAAAGGGAGCTGGGAAATGTTTAACTAAGCACTGTGCCTTCACCATAAACGGTACTTCCTGCTGATGTCCCTGGGGAAAGGGAAGATGGATCATGGAAAGGGGCATAGTGGTGCCTACCACCCAAGAAGGTCCCTCCTACTAACCTAAAGGGTTGGTGGTTCAAATCTACCTAGTAGTGCCGCAGAAGAAAAGTCTGGAAATCTTCATCCATAAAGATGCCAGTACAGGAAACCCTGTGGATCTGTGTCCTCCGTGACGCATAGGGTCACTAGCAGCTGGAATCAACTCAAGGGCAAGGCCTTTTTCTTCTCTTTTCTGGTTTTTGTTGTTGTTTTTTAACCACTCAAGGTGGAACAAACAAACTCAATCTTAGAAGAAACACAACCTTAGAAATGAGGATGGCAAGACTCCAACTGGCTTATTTCGAACGTGTCACTAGGAAAGATCCATCACTAGAAAGGGACATCCTCCTTGGGAAGTCAGAGGATCAATGAAAAGGGAAGAAACGGTCCGTGCGATGGACTGACCCAATAGCCACCACCATGGATCCAAACATACCAAAGATTATGAAGACAGAGCATGTCGTCCTGTTGCACATGAGTGGAAGCTGAAGAAAGGGCTCAAATATAACAGTGATGAGGAGGACGCAGGACTGGGCAGTGTCCTGTTCTGTTGTTTGTAGCGTCGTCGAGGTGAGTTAGAACCGAACCACAACCATGAGTCGGAATCAACTCAGTGGTGATGAGTTTTGAACAATCACTCCCACCCAAGGGTGCCAGGCGATATTTGTATCACTCTAAAGCCATGTGGATTTATAGAGGTATATGAACTTATAAAGGTAAGCTATGAGTTCTAGGTGAGAGGCAAGAAATTCAAAAGAAAAGGCTACCCTATGGTTATGAGTCATTTAGAAGAAGCTCTGCCTTCCGTTTCTAGAATCCTATTGTCTTTAATGAAGGATTCTGTTTCCAGTGTCTTACCTGGTTACCAAGACAAAACTCTTTGCAGAAGAACACGCCTCCTTGCTGCAGAGATCTCTGTGTAGATGTGGGCAGTCAGGTCGTGATTTGTGTGGGGTTGATTTCACCCTGACATTTTAGACAATGTGAATCCCATGGTGATCATCCACCATTTTCCTGGAAAGTTCTAACAATGCTGGCGTGACTGCTGTATGAGGTTTTGGGAAAACCAGTCCAGGGCAAAATAAAGCTTGAAGGTGGCAGAAGATGTCATCTGATGACCAAGGGACTGACATCATCCTAGAGCTTGAGGATATCCCATCTGGGGTTCAAAGGCACCCATCCTCAAAGGAGGTTTTGCAAGGTCAAGTGCTAGTAAACTCAAGCTTCAGCAGGGTGACATCAACTCCTGACGTCGACATGATAGACACTCAGATTGTCAGCAAATGGGATTACAAGCAGGGACAGCATGTGACATTGCTTTCGACATCTCGGCACGAATCCGTTTCTCCCACCCATCACCTCTCAGAACATGGGAGCCTCGACACTTCTTGTACTTCACTTGAAAGCATTCAAGGTAGTCAAACTCTGGGGAGGAGAAATCTTCCAAGCCGTCCAGTTTTTCTTTCTTTGTTTCTTTCTTTTTCAGTTTAAGACATTAAGTAGGTTGATGGTTTGGTAGCTTAAGTGAAGATTTGTTAGGCAAAGGAAGGGACCACTTGGAAGCACCCCACTAACAAGAACCTACTTTTATCCAACTCTTCCTGTGCCTGGTGCTCTGGTGAGCGCTTCCTTGCCTTTAGCCATTGGATTTGGATTTTATTTTACTTGTCCCCACCACACCTTTGAGGCAGGTCCTCCTGTCACCCCCATTTGACTGATGAGGACATTGAGGCTCAGAGATATTAAGTAACCTGTCTTTGGTCACGCAGCTAGTAGCTGGTAGATCGAGCCTCCAAAGCAGGTCGGATTGCTTGGTCTGAGTCCTCACCAACTGTTTCTTCCTTGGTCCAATGTCTCCCTACTCTGGCTTTAGGCAACACAGAATGGCTCTGATTGCAGTGTCCACAGGGAAATCAGATGATGGCTGATGGCTGATGGCTTTTCTGCCAGTCTGCTCCTTAGTCAAAACAAAACAAATAAACCTGACGCCAAATCTGTTTGGTCCCATATTACTGCCGTTGGCTGCCCATTGAGTGGCTAGAATAAGGCACTTCACTACTAGTTACAGAGGTCACATCTTTGAAACCCTTATAGAACAGTAGTTCTACTCTGCATACATGGGGTCTCCATGAGTCATCCCTTTATATTCCAGGCATAAAGTCCACTCACTTCCTCCAGGTATAGGAAGAAAAACTTCAATCACACCCGAGTACTTTGTGGGCTGAAGTCCTTTTTCTGTAGACTGGGGAGTCCCTTCACACACTTCTGTCTCTGGGCATCTCCGTGTTTTCTCTTCTTCTCTTCTCCCCTTCCTCCTCCTCAGTCTACTGCCCCTCACCATTCCCTCAGGAAAGATCCAAAGCCCTTGTCTTTAGCAGAGATTTAGTGGACATCTTTTGGGTATGCCCTTACCCGGTGTTTCCTTGAGTAGTTCTGGCTCGTGATGGGAAGAGAAAGAGCCAGTCTGTTCCCGGCACATCAACTCTACTGGCCTCCACTGGCTTCCCTCATGGGACAAGATGGTGACAGCAGTTCCAGGTGTCACATGCACACACAGCAATATGGAACAGAAGGAGGATCTACCTTGTTTTCCCCCCCAAAGAGAAGAAACCATTTCCAACAAACTCCTCACAGACATTGGCCAAAATGGAGTCACGTGATCATGTCTAACGGATTCACTGGCCAGGGGAGCAGAACCATCAAGATTAGCTCAGACTCCTCAGGCCCTGGTCCTTCTGCTTGGGGATTGGACCACCCACACATAAGTGCCCTGGGAAAGGGGCGAGCAAAATAGGGATTCTGTTGGGGAGGAGGGAATGACTTTAGGTGATTTAAAAGGTGAATCTGAGTTGAAAGGAGAGAGGTGTGTGTTCAGAAAATCATTTGACAGTCATCAAGGGTGAAGAGACTCTTGGCCTGGAGTGCAGGGGACAGAAGAGGGAGCCAAGAGATGCAGATGAGAGAAGAGAAGTGGGTTTGTTGACTTTGCTAAAGGCTTTTTTGAGGGGTGGGGGAGTGGGACACAAAACTCAACCCAAAACACCACCCTACAGGTTTCACAAAGATGCACATCTTCTTGTTTGTATTTCTAATCTTCAGAATCCCTGCTTCCATGGTCTCTAATTTTTTTGTGCTTTTTTTTTAATGCCATATTTTAAATTGTTGTTATTCTATTAAGGAAAGAAAAACCAAAAACTTTATTTTCCTTTCTTCCACAGATCAAAAGCTAATTGCCTCTCTAATACCCCTGACCCCAAGAGACAGAAATAAAGCCATCAGAAACCAGCCAAAGACCATGGAAGAGAAAAGAAAACTCAGGTATGAACATAGGCTTTTCTTTTTTCCAAGGTTCCTGAGAACCTTGATCTTCTACTGTGGGGGATCAGCCTGCCCACTAATGAGTGAGTCCAAGGGGTGGTTGTGTAATTGAGGAGTAAACGAAAGAGACATCAGACAAGATAAAGCATGCAAGGGCTCACCTCTTCCATGATGACCCGCACCAGAATGAGACTGTACTGTATTGACTCACAGACTCATATGATCTCAGGCAAGCAAGCCACGCTAAGCATATACGTAACAGGAAGGGGCTGTACTAGAGGAATGCATGTGACAGGAGGGGGATGAGCCAGGGGTACACATGCAATAGGAAGGGGTTGTACTAAGGGCACATGTGTGGCAGGAAGGCACGTGTGTAACAAGATGGGTGGGCTCGAGAATCAAGATGGAAGCCTCACCTTGTTCATCTCTGAGCTGACTTGACCTTAGGTGTCTTTGAGCTCTTCTCCAGGAGAACCATCTATGATGCTTATCTGAAGGGAGTGAGCCCCCATCTCAAGGTTGTCTCCCCTCTCTCTCTTGCTTATTGTGTTCTCGTAACCCTGTCTTCCCTACTGTTCACTCATCTGGGGCTTTGTTTCTTCTCTCCCCTAACTCCAAATGCCCCCTGAGCCTCACAGCTAATCCCTCACCTCCTTCAAGATTGTCCTCCACAAAAAAAGATGAGAGAAAGCTCTGAGGAAACCTTCACACTTGACACTGAAGACACTCTTGGGAGGCCACCTTGGAGCCAAGGATTAGACAGGCTGATCAAACGAACACGTGAAGAATGAGCTCCTCCTAACAATCAGCTGTGCGAGACCTCATGGGAAACCTTTAGCCTAAACCAAAGACGAGAAGACAGGGTGGGGAACCAGATGGAAACAGGACCCCGGGGAGGAAATAGGGAGAGTGCTGGCACATTGCAGGGATCGGAGCCAATGCCACGGGATAACTTGTGTGTGAATTGACTGGGAAAACGGATTTGCCGTGTAAACGTTCACCTAAAGCCCAATATGTGTGTGTGTTTGAATTGTCAAAGGAGCCCTGAATGGTGCAAAATGGCTGAGAGCTTGTGCACAAGAACAGCGTGGAGCCATAGCTGACCGCCTCTGGCGTCCCTATTGCCAGGAGGCATAGGTCAGACATGCCTTGACCGTCATCCTCCTTCACTCCATTCTGACGCCAACCATTCCCTCTACAATACTCTTCCTCTTCTGGGTTTGATAACTTCATTGTAATGTCTATACAGTTCTTGCGGGCAGTACTCATGGTTAAGGGAGTTCATTAAGGAAATTAGCAGGTTGCCACAAGGCAGGATCAGTAAACAGGAAGGCTACAGTCATTGATGGCCAGCAACACCTCCCCTCGGCCAGTAGTCAGATCTCTCTCCAGTCAACCTCTCAGCCATACGGTCCCGTGATCTCTACCTCCATGAACCAGGAAGCCAGCCTGCTGTTCTGCCTCCCGGTCTCATAGTCTCGGTACTGCTCCTTTGTTCTGTTTCGTGGTCTCCTTGGCCTCTCGTCTCCACCTGGCTCCTTGGCTCTGCCCATGGTCTCCATGCAGTAGCCTCTGGTCGTGGCCGCCAATACTTCAGAGAGATCTCGCATGGGTTCCATTGATGGCTCTTCTTCCAGTGGCCTGGGGTTTCTCTCTGTCTGCTTCGACGATGGCTGTGATACCCAGATGAATGGTTTTGATGGAGGTGTGCTTATCTTTTAGCCAACCATACATACCCCCAAGGAAACAAACAATGGTGACTTCAGGTGCACTGTCAACTCAGGGAAAGACTCAGAATACACTCCACTAACTTAATCCTGTCTGTTAGCGTAGCCGAGAACCCCCTCCAAAATGAGATTATAACCACAGGCATAGAGGCTAGAATTTATCATTCGTCACATAAGGGATTATGGTTAGAAGGACCAGGTTCATTGGTTGCATCTCAACTTGGCCACAAACTGTAGAGGTTTGTGGTTTGGGTCTACCCAGGCCCACCTAGGAAGAAACACCCTGGGATCTGCTTCTGAGAGATCTCAGTAATTGAAAACCATATGGAGCACAATTCCATTCTGAAACCCATGGGAGGTCCATGCGTTGGAATCCACTGGAGAGCAATGTTTTGGGTTTCTTTCATATTAGAGCACAGTCCCACCCCAGCATGTCCCATCTCCTACATTGCTCTGTTTTGTGTTTTTCTTTCCCATGCCACAAATCACCTTCTAATACGGTGAACAGTTGATCTACTTGTTAGATTTACAGGTAGTCTCGTCCTTATGATGGGGTTTCATCCCTGAACGTCATCACACCTGCTTATGACGGGGTCTCGTTCCTACGATTTCATTACAAGTCGGTCATGACATAAATCAGATACCTCTTTTTGTTAAACTTTTCATTATGATTGCCTTTTATTATCATTATCTTTATAAATCTGAGCTTCATTTGCCTTTTAAGGTTGGAAACATTTAATACATGTATAGATATATTTTAATGCTAAAATACATAAAAATACACAACTAATGAAAATGTGCTCCCAACCATGAAGTTGGACATTGTTGGCATTTTGTCAGTTGCAGTAATAACTCCGCTTGGGGCAGGTTCTGGATTACCCCTGAAAACAGGGATAGTGTTTCCAGCCTGAAAATTTGTGAGAGTCATCTGTCCCATCCTTTTTTTTTGGCTTCTTGTGTTTTGTGGTAGCGTCTCACTGCCTCCCGAGTCTACCGCTCAACTCCGTACAACCTAGCTCAGGTTTCATTGCCGAGCGGGCCATACATAGCCCACTGTACGGCAGGGTTCTGAACATTAATCTGGAATATTTGTGAGTGGACATTTGAGAATGATGTACATTGACATCTTGAAAATGCAGCATTGTATGAGGGGGGGTTCAAAACGTTCTTGGAAAAAGTCCATTTCCCCACAAATTTTATATGTCATCTTCAGAATTCCCCTAGAGAACAGAGTTGGACTGCTCCCGAGGGTTTCCAGGGGTGTAAATCTGTATGGGAGCAGACTGCCTTACCTCTCTCCTGCAGAGCACCTGGTGGATTTGAGCTGCGTGCTGCCCTGGTGGTTGGCAGTCCCACACATAACCCACTGTGCCACTCGGAATTGACTCAACGGCAGCTGGTTTGGTTTTCTGTTTTCTTGTGTAGTACATATCAACAGTGGTAAGATGTACACCCCCAAACCACACACACACACACACACACACACACAAAGCCTGTGATTCTTTGTAACTTGAATACATAGGACCCCACCTCTATTATTGCATATTGTCTTTTCCGGCACGGATGTCAGCTCCACAAGGCAGGGAAGCCACACTCTCTGGTTCACTGTGTGGGACTATGCCTGGCATCCATGTTGTAGGCACTTAGTAGTTATTTCTCATTTTATCGAGGAAAAAAAGCTTATGTCCAGTTTGGCTCAATAAAGCAAAGTGGAATTTGCTAGGAGGTTTCCAGGAAAGCTTTTTCCTGATAGAGGAGGACGGGAGAGAGATGGAGAGAGACACAGAAAGAGACAATCCGAGAGAGACAGAGACACAGAGAGAAAGAGACACAGATGAGAGATGGTAAAAGGAGGAGGACACAGAGAGTTGGAGAGAGATGAGGAGAGACAGAGACACAGAAAGGAGACGGGGAGAGATGGAGAGAGGAGGGACTAAGGCACACACGGAGGAAGAAACAAAAATCAGAGAAAGAGACCGAGGTGGGAAGGGAGCCCTGAGCCCTTCTCTTTTAAATGCGACTTTACCGTGCTCTCAGGGGAGGCGGACAGGACACAGCACTTTAGGTCCCCATCCAGCACTTCCTACGAAACTTGTTCAGAGCCATTGACGACCTTCTGGGTCTTCATTCGCCTTGTGTGGCGATTCTTAAGACTGCCGTTTGGCTGGTTCCGTTTCATCTCATTTCCCTGCCGCCTTCTATACTCATCTCGGTCTTAATTTTAAAATGTGTTCTTAAAGCAATTACTGACCCGTTGGTCTCATGTAAGTGACTCTTGGTTTAGAGCCCTGCAGTACTTATGGGTTCTGTTCAGTAATTTTTGAGCCAATTTGTTATTTAGCTACAAGGTGACTCGGAGGTTAGTTTTAGTTCAAGGTTTGAAGAGTGATGCAGGGCAATCGTCTTGAGGAGTCTTCCAGCCTCAACCAGTCCAGGGAACCTATATTTTTGGTTGGTTGGTTGGTTGGTTGTTTTCAAAAAGCTTTTGCTATTCTGTTCCATGTTGTTCCTCTATTCTGTCAGGGTCCCTTTATTGTGGTCCTCAACAGCATGGGCAGTCATGGTAACATGGTACCATCTAGTTCTTTGGTCTCAGCATAGATCAGATCATGGTTCATGATGATAATTTTTTTAATGACTTGATTAAAGAACTAATGTCTCTCACTTTCTTCTGCTGTTCCCACAGGACAATGGTTGACAAAGAGAAACGTAAATCCCATCTTAGCTTTAAGCTCAATTGCTGCACCCAGTGTCTGAACTCCATTTCACTGGTAAGACGGTGTTTAGTGCACCTGGCAAACTGGGCAGAGTGAAAACAGGGAGGTAGATTGCAAGTCTGGCTAGACCAGAGGATGTACACTGGTACAGATAGGAACTGAAAATACAGGGAATCCAGTGTGGATGAGCCCTACAGGACCAGTGGTGTGAGTGGCGATACTGGGAGGTAGAGGGAGAGTGGGTAGGAAAGAGGGAACCGATTACAGGAACTATATGTGACCTCCTCCCTGGGGGACAGACAACCGAAAAGTGGGTGAAGGGAGACGTCGGACAGGGCAAGATATGACAAAATAACAATTTATAAATTATCGGGGGCTCATGAGGGAGTAAGGAGCGGGGAGGGAGGGGAAAAATAAGGACCTAATGACGGGGGCTTAAGTGGAGAGGAAATGTTTTGAGAATGATGAGGGCAATGAATGTACGAATGCGCTTTACACAATTGATGTATGTATGGATTGTGATAAGAGTTGTATGAGCCCCTAATAAAATGTTTTTTTTTAAAAAAGAAAACAGGGAGGTAGAAAAATAAGTGATAAAGATAGACCAAAGGAGATACCAATTCGGGAAGATAAACAAAAATCCAAGGCTTTTTTACTCCTGGAGTCATGGAAATTGGGTCAGTATGGGTGAGGAAAGGAAGTTGGGAAGGAGGCTGGTAGGAGCAAGGTTTGTGAGATTGCTGAATTTGATGAGCAAATTACCCACGTGGGCATTACCTTCTTCAATTCATCAATCCTTCAATGCCAGCAATCCTGGAAAGATAATAATAACACTCACCATAGAGGGTGGGCAGAAGGGTTAAATGATTTAACATTTGTCAACTCACCTAGCACAGAGCTCAAAAACTGGTGGCCATTCATCGATTACAGTCCCTGCTCAGCAGGTATTTAATGAATGACTACAAAGCCTCTCTTTTGTGTCCTAACTCCAGGCTTACCGGAGATCCCGGAACAACCTATCGGAACTCCTCGATTTCATCAGCCTGTGGCAGAAGACGCTCAAGGTCATTGGAGGCAAATTTGGAACCAGTGTCCTCTCCTATTTCAACTTTCTGAAGTGGCTTTTGAAGTTCAACATTTTCTCATTCATTGTAAACTTCAGCTTCCTTGTAATCCCTCAGTTGACCGTGAACGAGAAGAACACCCTCCCCTTCACTGGATTGGAATTTTTAACGGGGGCGGTGAGTTCTCCATTTCCTTGGTGCACAAGCATCCACCCTGCATCCAGCACCCTAGAAACCAAGGGATATGCCTAGCTGGTCGGCTCATCCAGACCACCTTATGGCCTGGGGGTTGACGGATGGGGAAACCGGGTGTTTAAAAAAACGATCTCTTTTTTCTCAAAATAACATATACTGCAACCTAGTAGAGTTTGTGTCTCCAGAAGTAGCCACTATTGACAGGTGGACATTGTCTTGTCTATATTTGTCTTTTCTACACATACGTGAACATATTTGCAAGTATATTATAATATTTAAAACAGAAACTGAAGTACACCCTATGTACCTATACTGTCTGTATTAGGAAATGCTGTGGGGGCCAGTAGGTCTGACCTCCTCTGGCTTCCCTCGTGGGAAGGAGAATCCAACTCCCCATCTGCCCAAAGATGATTCCTCGGAGGCAGAGGTCAGAGCTGTCTCCACCCTCCATCTTTCTTTCTTTTATTCTGACACCAACCATCTCCCTTGACCCTCTGGTTGGAAATCCCTTGCAATGGCCACACGGAATTCACGACATGTTCCTAGAGAGTTCTTGGCTTTCTTTATCATTGGATTCAGTGGTTGGCACATGCATTTGAACAATAGTTGTATTAACTGGTTTTCCTTGTAGCTATAGTATATAGTATCCTCTAACCGAGCGACAGATCTGGAAAGGTTCTTTCTGAGGTTGATCATGACATCATCTATCTTGAATACGTCATTCTTGGCATAGTAAACCCTATGATTATTTGATTGAAAATGGCCAGTACCAGTCCATGTCAGCTCACGAATGCCCAGGATGCCGATACTTTAGGCACGCCACTTCACTTTTGATCACTTCCAGTTTTCCAAGATTCCGACTTTGCTCTGTCTGCGTTGTTCAGGCTGACTCTGAAGAGGAACAGGTAACGCTTCCCAGTATTGTGGATGCCTTTCAGCCTGAAGGGGTTCTCCTCTGGCACAGTATCAGACGATATTCTCTTGCTATTTATTCATAAGGTTTTCCGTGACGAATCCCTCAGAAGTGGAGCACGTATTCCTTCTTTCCAGTCTGTCCTTAGTCTGGAAGCTCCACTGAAACCCGCTGGTCTCGGGTGAGCCTCCTGGTATTTTAAATTCGGAGGGCATGACGTGCAGCATTACAGCCACAAGCAAGCCGCATAGCGCCATAAACGGACAGACAAGTGGCTTTCTTAAGCACTCATCTTCCCATTTTCCCTTCCCACACACTCCAATCCCTGTAACCATCAATCAACTTTGGTAGTCACTAATAAATATTCGCCCATTCTAAATATTTCATATAAGTTGGGATAATGCAATGTTTGCCCTTTGTGCCTAACTTATTTTACTCACCAGATAGGAAATAGTAGACAGCCTAATTCTTCTCCTGTGGAGCACTGGATGGGTTTGAACTGCTGACCTTGTGGCTAGCAGCCTAATGCTTAACCCACAGCACCACTGCATCTCCTGAGGTAGTCAAGGTTCGTCCATGTTGTACTGTGTATCAAAATTGATTGCTCTTTATGGTGGAATCCTACAGGGACTTTTTACCCCTGCAATATTTCGTAGGTGACGACATGAAAAACAAACCCATTCCCAGGAGTCAACTCCAGCTCATGGTGATCCCATAAATGGCGGACCAGGACAAGGCTCCGTAGGGTTTTCTCGGCTGTGATTTTTTTTTTTAAGTCCTCAAAGTGACATGTTTATTTTTGTCTTGGCTGTAATGTTGACAGAAGCAGACCACCAGGGTTTTCTCCAGAGATCATGCTGAGTGGGTTCGAATTACCAACCTTTTTTTTTCAAATTATTTTACTGGGGGCTCATACAATTCTTATCACAATCCATCCATCCATCCATTGTGTCAAGCACATATGCACATTTGTTGCCCTCATCATTCTCAAAACATTTGCCTTCCACTTTAGCCCTTAATATCAGTTGTTCATTTTCCCCCTCTGTCCCCACTCCCCACTCCCTCATGAACCCTTCATAATTCATAAATTATTATTGTTTTGTCACAAGTTACACTGTCCAACGTCTCCCCTGCCCTCTTCTCTGCCATCCATCCCCCAGGGAGGAGACAATACTTAGATTCTTGTAATCGGTTCCCCTTTTCTACCCCACATTCCCTTCACCCTCCAGGCATCGCCCGTTTCACCACTGATCCTGAAGGAGTCATCTATCCTGGATTCCCTGTGTTTCCAGTTGCTATCTGTACCAATGTACATCCTCTGGTCTAGCCAGATTTGTAAGGTAGAATTGG